TAAAATACTAATTTTATTGATTTAGGGTTTCGATTCTATCTCTTAATGTCACGAGTAAGCTGTGGTCTTTTCTCTACGAGAAGCTGGTCTAACTGACAATCGTTATAAGTAAAAGGTCGAAAGAATTTCTAGCTGTACACACATCTGCATATTCTCAGTACATTTATTTTTGTAGTAAAATGAAAGACTGAATTATATTAAATATTCCAACATGCAGTGTTAATATGCAGTTAAACGTTGCTACACAAGGGAGCTTTCCAGTTTCCAACGGCTAACAACCCTTACAGTAAGTCACTCTTTATCCCCGAAGTTTAACGATATTTAGGACCGAGGAAAAAATGCATTGACTTGTCATAGTGAAATGCAAGAGCAGAACGGTTAGCGCGTTAGTTCACCTGATTTGGAGGCTTAATGAGCCCGTTGACACTTTGATGCAAGGTGTCCCGCGTGTCGCCGGGGAATTGCCAGTTCAATAATTCAGAGGCTGGCCGTAATGGAACTTGTCCGTGGGACTCGATCTATCATAGGAAATTGCACGGAGCCCTTTTACCGTCGCTCATAAGAAACATACATATTAGAAGAATAACATAGCGAACCCACTCGCTCGTAACCTCGTGTCAGTCGTTCCGTTCCGAGAATTGATTAAAGTCCGGAAATAAATCCTGCATGCGTGTGCGAGCGCATGCGTTCGCGTACGTGAGCGCTCGAAAAAGAATCGGCGACGTTCCTTGAACGACGTCTTGGCAAAAACCAAAAATATGGTCGGATTATGTAGAACGGTAGGAGGAATCGCGGGATGCCGAGAAAAACTTTCCACCACTCGCGAATTAGGAGAATTTTAAGTTAAATTATCACGTTCACGATCTGGCGTCTCGCGAACTTTTCGAGAAATGTTTCTTTTTTTTCTCGAAAGATTTCGTATTTTACATTCCACGCTGCCATTTTTGGTAACGTTACTCACTGGAGGGTTAATTAGAGGCCAGAGGGTCGTTTGATCTCACTATAGTCGCCCTAAGGTTAATGAGATGAAACTTCCCACAGGGACGCAATTAAGGGAGTATACGCGTTTGTCATAGAAAATAATTTCAAGAACTTTTATTCAGGTGTCAACTATATATTTAAATCCAAAACAGAGCGAAATTTTACAGTATAAGTATTACAAGTGCACCCTCTTAACATGTTTTTACTGAGAAATAAATTAATTAATTCTAAAAATGTGAAATACATCGCATCGTATGAAAGGACGCAAGGAATTTTATTCCTATGGCATTCACCATTCTACAGTAAATTGTACGTTAAAGGATTAAAAGTCTACGTGCGTCGCTAGTGCCATTTTTCCTGTGTGATCATCCTACCCTTAATGTTTAGATCCTTGATAAAATTTATTCAATCGTAAGGCATCGAGTGCAACGAAAGTCTGCCACAAGGAACGTTAATTATCGCGTCTATGTTCTTCGGGGACAGAGTTCGAAATAATCCTCCATTCCGTTTGGGCGAATTTTTCTGGCAGCTTCGAGAGATCATTCCGTCTGTCCAAAACTATAGTCGTCTCGTGGATCCGGCGACGAGCAAACGTTCTCCCTCCATCCGTCGACAGCGAGAAACGCCCGACGTCAAAAGCAAAGCTCAGAGGCAATCATGAGCTTTCGAATGCAAAACAGCAGCTTTCGCCTAGCAGCACTCGGCACTTTTACATTTAAATGTAAACTCGCTGAGTGCGCGCCGCAGAGCCGCCCTCGCCATATCCTCCCCCATCTGGCAACGGACCCCTTCTCAGCCCCCTTTGCGTCGCACCCCTATCTGCGTACCGTTTCCATCCGCCGCCTCCTCCTCTTTCGAGGACGTAGGCGATATGGCGGAGGCGCCTGAATTTAATATTTTACACCTCAAATGTTGCGCGCGTGTGTGTGTGTGTGTGTGTGTGTGCGAGCCAGATATGCAAAACAGCTCGTCGAGTAACCCTCAACCTCCCACACCTTCCTCATCCCGTCTCCCAACGACATCGTCTATAACGATTGCTCTCCCCCTTTCGACTCGGATTCGATTTAAAACACTCTAATTTGTCGAGCACGACGCGATACGCGACTTGTACACGGATTCCCCACTCACCATTCCTCCCTATCCGTGTCTTCAATTGTCCGTGTGACCATACTCCTTTCGAAGCTGCGAAGTAGCCCAAGCTCTCTACCGACGGGGGTTGCTCGTGTGGGCACGGTGGGCCACATCTAAATTTAAAATCTGCTTTGCATAATGCCCGACCTCGTTGGTACTCGTCGACCCCGAGACCGCCTAATTGCGCCCTCGTTCAAGCCCCGTTCCCCTTCGACACCTACGGCAGCCATTCTCGAAAAACCGGCTTCTTCCGCCCACCGCCTCTCGTCGCTCGCTTCCGCCACTTTGAATCGACCGATCAGGTATAACCAGACTCCCCTCGCTTGGACACCCCCTCCCCCCCCCCGCGACCCTTTGGTCTATCGAGAATCAATCTTTAACCCTTTGCACTCGAGGGGCGATTCGAAAGCGACAGTCTTTGTTTATTGATATACTTTGAAATAGTAGCAAGATACTTTATTTCTACGACTCTCCAATCATGGTACAAGAAGGGTTTAGTCGTTTAAATTGTTAGCTATCTGTAACGAAACTGTAGTCAAGTGCAAAGGGTTAATTACGACGCGGCGCCCTTATCTCGAGTCGTCGATGCTTCAGAGACTTTCTTGACTCAGAGTATCAGCTTTATCTTTTTCCTAAGCATGATTAGATTTCGTACCCCACCTAGCATGTACTACCTTGTCACCTAAAAACACATTTATCACGTACAAATCGGGGTATTACTCGCTAAAAAAAAAGCTTCTTTTTTCAAACCAAATTAATCTTTATTCACAACTTTTGGGTGATTTCAGTTTTCACAGTTGCAAAAATCTAACGATGGAACTAATATGTCGGTATCTGGTGACTCAACCGTATGAGGGGAGGGTTAATGGAGACACGTAAACATCAAAATATTTTCCAAGTACGGGTCACCGCGCGTCAACAAGCTATAAGTGTAGCGATTTCGTCGACAACGGAAGAGTTCAATGAAACGAAATTCAGGGAAATTGAAACGTATCGTGTAAGTGAGCGTGCGGTCGCGGGAAGGTCAACCCGAGCCGACGAGGCATTTCCACGCACGTGCGTGGAAATTTTCATCCCTCGGCACGTCTCCCGCATTGTCGAGGAAACTTTGTCACGGTGGTCGCAGGGTCAATCGCTCCGGATCGTGTTTAATGTAGTACGTATTAAACGCAGCTAATGTGTCACCGTCGACGGTCGCGTTCACAAATTTACTTCCTCGGTTCCCGCTGTCCATCCGTCTCTCCTTAGAAAGAAGGGGATAAAGCACGAACACGTGCCACTCCCCGTTCCGACGGAGAAATTCGAAAGTAATGCGATTCCTCCCGCTTGTATCCGTCTCTGGACGAGGAACGGTCATCGGTCAGCTCTTATTCACGAGGGGAGGGCGAAAAAATATCCTGTGTACGATGGACGACCAAGGATAGGTATCCCCGCATTCATATGCTAAGACGATTGATCCGCCAACGAGTCTTGGCAAACGAACTTCGCGATCAAAATAAACACGGGACTTCCTACCCTATCACCCTTTTCACCATTCGCAAATTTCGTCGCCGTCTCGTCCGTGCAATTGAATGTTCGCGAGAAGCCACGGTAATCAGCCGAGACTCGGCGATCCAGACACTTGCCTCCGTTTTGCTGGACAACAACGAACCATTGAACGCCAACACTCGCAATGGATCAGAGGGGGGACAAACGAATCGAGCGTGTTTGGAAGAGTACGTGCCTCTTACGGTCGTTACTGGCAGTTTCCTGCGATAACCCCAGCATTATTCTCGTGGACCCCGGAATAACGGGGGAAGAGAATTCACAATGGGCCACAATGACGGAGCCAACGTTACGAATTAGCCTCGGTTACGCGTTTATTGCCGATTCCGGTCCAGGACAGCGGCGTCGCGACGGATTTTTCCGCCGACCCCGGCGCACCGGCGAACAGGAGGGTACACGCTTCCGCGAGGACGCCACTGCGGAGATGCGAAGTATTAGCATTGGTTAGCTTTATGGAGCGTTCAGTTCCGCCGGGAAGAGAGAGCGAACGAGGCAGATCAATAAAATCTGTCTGTCTGGAAAAGTAATGCCAAATCGACTGGCCATTTTCAGCGGCGAGCAAATAAATGTCACAAAAGGAGTGCGCGCCCCCGACTTGCCCGCCGAGCCAGGCTTTTTAAGCTTCGACGTTCCACTCGTTCGAAAGCGTCGAAACTATTGGAAATCCTGGAATCATTGGCAATAATGAATTACTACGGTGGAAAACACAGCTCACTGAATCACGACCACCTCAGAGGATTAAATGCGAGATAAGAATGCGATTACTTTGAATCCCAGCATCCCGGCTTTTATGTAATAATAACACTAGAGTTTACTCTGCAAAATGTTCGATCGTGGTTCGACGAGACCAATTTTTAGAGGAATCTCGGGTTTAATAGTCACCAGAGGACGCGCTGAAATTATTTCGCTAGATTCTACGGGACATCAAGTATCGATCGCGACGAAACTTTCCGTGGGTGATCCGAGAATCTGACGTCGTCGTCGGTGAGAAAATTCCTTTTTTCACGGTTACGTGACTAGCGAGACCGTGCGACAAAGGGAGCGAAATTGGAACGCAATAATTATTAATCAATTTCGTATTAATTGTTTTCTGGGCGTCAGGGCTTAAGTGGGATGTTGTGTACTGGCTCCTGGCAAGCTCTGCCCTGTAACCAGCCAAAGTGTCATACAAGAAGATTAATTACGTCGCGCCACCTTTTATGTGCCCCATGCGTGCGACTACCCTTCTCCGGTAACCGCTGGATACACGTAAAAGTGTTCCAAACTCGCCAAGTTATCGGGAGAGAAGTAACAAAGGGAAGTTGTATTTTATAAATAATAATAAAAATCGTAATAACACCCGATAGTTTCTTCACGAGTTTCCGTTTATTCGAAGACACGAGGTTTCTTAAAAGTTACGCGATAGAGGTACTCGATCGAGAGAAGTAACAAAAGCACCAGCGAGTATAATTTTTGGCAAGTTTAGATAGAAGACGAGAACTTCCTCGTTTCGCCAAACGAAGATGACTCTCTCCCACTTCTGCGTCTATCTTTCGCGGAGCTTTTTTTCGTAATTACAACCCTGGCGGATGGTTCAGGAGAAAAAAAAAGGGGTACGCGAAAATAAAAGATACCCGAGGGAATAAGATTTCGTCGGTACTCCGTTCCCGAGACACGAAAGCCAAGTTAGTTTTATTTTACAATCCATCGGCTTCCACGACACGGAGGGGTGAGTTTCGTCGTCGTCGCAGACTGGTGCTCCAGTCGCAGGAAAAGAGAGACGTTCGATGGCGGTTGGAGTCCTTCAAGATGGTTGAGTGAACGTCGGGCGGGTGCACGAGTTGCGACAGGGGCGGGGGACGGCTGTCAACTAGTGTTTTAAAAGTTTGCGACAGCCTACAAATTGGCTCGCTCAGTTCTTTTTAAAAGCACCTCCAACCAACCACGTCGCGTACCTCTCCCTATCTCCGTCCTTCGTGCTCGGAGCCGTATCGTTGAACGGGAAGCTTACAAAAGTTTTCGCGAGTGGTAACATCTATGTTAAAAGCAAAATCTAGTTGTAAACAATCGACGATGTATCAAATCCGAAGACCCGCGTCAGCGTTACCCTAGGAAAGTCAGACGTGTGTAACTGTTCGGATACGTGGACAATCGATCGAGGATATCTCGTTTCTTTGTACACGTTTAACAAAATATAAAACATGCAATTCGGCATTTGGCGAGTACCGTGCGACGGACGCACTTTGAACGCGTTATTTGGCAAATGTACGCTCCTCTCTAAAAGCTTCGTCTCTCATCGTATTGTAAAACAAGATTGCACGTCGCTCGACGTCGCCGATCGCCGAATGTCTGGCCGCGGCGTAAGATACATCATTTCGAAAGCGGTGCGACGCTTCGTGAAGTTGGTCTCGGTTGCGGCATTTCCCTCGAACGCAAATGATCGCGGAGCAACGCGGTGAAACGCCCCAAATAAATTGCTACGAGTGGTTTTTTCTATCGACTATTGTGCGCCCGATCGTTATTCTCCGAAGTTTCGCGAAAAGTTCCGGCCATTTTCGGACAAATCGACCTCCATCCGCGGCCATTCCCCGCGTAGGAAATATGCTTGCGCCGCGATTCAAATTCCGAAAGTTTCAAAGTATTTCGACGTTGAAACGGAGCCATTTCTCATATTTTCTATGCAGCCACGCTTCCCCGTGGACGCATTTGATACACTCTATTAGTCGCACTCCCCCCTCCTGGCTGATTTATCGAGTTGCCCGCGTTATTATATGTACATTCTCCCCGTTACGAAACCGAGATTCATGGCGTTCTGGTAGTTCGCCGGCGCTCCGCGCACGTTCCGTTCCCCGGGAGTGATCAACGGTTATTACGCGATTTTAAGATCCGTATCCATTCCAGAAACGAACAAAGTTCCTCGAAGGAAACCGTTGGAGGATAGTAGAACGTCTACGCGAGTCACGCGTTATCGTGAATCGGTGTTGTTCGCTTGGTCGATATTTATTAACGCTTATAAAAGGAGGGAGCAGTCGAAACTATAAATAAATACGCTAACATTAAAGGTAGCTAAATGACGCTTTCGAAGTTTATCCAGATGATTAGTTGCGCTGTTGGCCTTCTTCTCGCCGAGCGATGACAGGTAGGTACCGATACGAAGTACAATCGAGTCCACGAGTTTATCTTCGAATATGTGCGAGCATTCGCTTGGCTACTTGGGCAGAATCGTGGGCGATCTCGGCGAGTCGAACATCGAAAAGTTCTGCGAGAGATAAGACGGCGTTTTTGGTCCATTTTCGTTCGATTGCGTCGCGGATGCAGCTTCCCTCAAGTCGCGATTGTGGCAATTCTGTTCCACGTCGGCCCATTCCTTGCGCGCGGCTTGCACCACCATCCAAGTGTACGTGCACAACACTAAACCAACAGAAATGCGTAAAACGATGCTCGTTACTTCGCTTCACGTGTACTACAAAGTAGCTACGCATTGAGAAATCTCGATCGGCGTCCGCAGTCCGATCGCGTAGCAAACCGAGACGCGTAGACTGATGGGTAATTCCAATGTACTTACATAGATAGATGCTGGACACTGGAATGTACCATATTGAATTATCGTAAACATCGTATTGCGGCCCGTGCGTCAGATGAATAGACAGCGCCACAGACTGATCTATTATGCTAATCATTTGCAAATACATCCAAGGCACGGCACACTTGGACCTTCTCTGTGAACGTACGCGGAAGTTAGCGAGATCGTTAGCGTGTTTCAGCGAGGCTGCTACGTGCCGAAAATACGTTTTTCGAATAAAGAAATACTTCGATCGATTCATTTTCGAGACACAGCCACATTAAGCAGCGAATGCTTCTTAGTTCGCCTTCTATGCGTGTAGTTGAGCGAGTTTTTTCTGGTCTAGAACATCTAAATCCAGCCGCTTGTTTCGTGAATTTTTTTCTCAAATACCCGTTGATCGCACCTTCCTCAAACTTTGCACATTTACGTATGCATATGTTTAAATAAAGACATGTTAACATGCCGGAGAGCATCGAGGAAAACAAAAATAGCGTTTCTGACGTCCGGAACTTTTTACGTTGCACACATTGACTCGAAACAAAAGGATTGTATAGAATACGTTCGGTATGAATATAGTTATATGCATGACTACAAAGATTTGAACAAAAGTTGCGATGATGTATAGAAAAATGTGAAGCATGTTTTAAAGAAATTAAACTTGAAGAACACGTATTATAAAGTTCTAGATCAGAAGAGCCCCTTGGTTGGATAATCTTGATATACTCACGGAAATTGATCCCAGGGCGAGGTACGCGCTGGCCAATAAGAACGAAATTGCGTACAACAGGAGAAACACCATCCCCGTTTCCGCTAAGAATTTCATTTTTGTTTTCATTAGTACCGTAACATTGAGAGAAATGATTATACAGAGAGTCGCAACATGCGTGGTACGAACTTAATCGAGAAAATCATATTGAATCTGATTTAATCGATTGTACGATCGTATCGATTACATGATTGTCCGAGTCTTGAAAGAAGTAGAAATTCAAACCACACGAATGTATCCGATGTCATCCGACACCGTGTTAATATTCCAACACCGAGTAGTCGACGAATCAATATTGATCATAACAAATGCAAATAAACAATCGTGGATTACGCGCGATGCGGTAACAAGAAACAGACGGCTGTCTGTGTGACGTGTGCCACGTAAATAATTATATTTACAAATCGAAACCAAAAGAACTAATGAGACAGAATCGATGACTGATACATAATAAAAAATCAATGAAAAAGATAAAATCTTTACAGAAACAAAGTACCTACGAGTGACTCTAATCGCATTGTTATTTTTCATTGATTCTAAAAATGATTCTAGGGGTGAAAACACCTTTCTGATAAGTTTAATTTGTTAATCGAATACACATTTTCATTATCATCTCTTGTCAGGTTGTATATACCACGTATTTTGGGACAATCTGTACGCACACGCTCAATCGAAAACCCACCTTTCCTTTCTATCTGCGAGGTTCTTAAGACCTGCATCCAGTTCAAACCGATCAATGCCCAATTTTCAATAGAATCGAAGAATTTGTCGTCCGTTTCTCTTGAGAAATAGTTGCTCATTAGCACGTTTATCATGAGTATCGAGAGCGACTAGAAGAATACGAATGGAATACATAGGACATGAAATTACATTAACGTTGATCGCCGACGAGAACGAATGCGAATTATCAGCGAAAATCTCATGATATTACGCGCAACCCTACCACGTGCAAGAAACCGGTTTAATGTTGCAATTACGCGTTTGGTTCGTCACTCACCATGGTGTATGTGCCGATGATCCTCGCGGCTAATGACAATCCGATACAGCATAACTTGTACATGGCGAATTGCGAGCGTCTCGATACGATGAATCACAAATACTAAATGCCAGAACGTTCTCCGGTGATCACGATTTTCGTTACTGTGACGCCAGCAGCTCGACCGACGTTTTATAAAAAATGTAAACACAAATGTTTGCCAGTAAACGCACGCTTAAATACTCGACCGTCGATATTGCGAGCCCGCGCCGGATTGTCGACGAGCTTCGATTATCGAATACCGCGATAAATCTTCGCTTGAGTAGTCGCTCGATGCGGTGTACGGATGACTGCGTTGATCGATCGTAATCGAATTCGCAGTAAGAACGCGCTAGTTAATTGTATTTTTTAGAACTATCCGTACGTGACATCGTGACAACCTTTAGCCAGAGTTTTATTAAAGCAAGAAACGCAATTTTTCTCGGTTGGAATGATCGTACACATTCTTAAATTAACATTTTTTTTCAATGTAGTTGTAATCGTTTATTATGTAGCATGTTAAAGAAGCCTCGGAACCAGTCGCGCGCGATTACCCCCGCATGCGCAGTACGTTTGAAATCTTGGAGAAGCAAGTGCGCGCTTGACATGTGCTTTTAGGTTAAGTGTCGTGTTTCTTGGTAACTTGCGTATGTTTCTTACGTATGAAAATTGGAGAAACAACGTTCAACGATGACTGTGCAGGATACGGACATTTCCTTGAATATATCTTCGGAGCCTGCTTCTAAGAAGGTAAGTGAGAAGTTAAGAATGTTTCTAAGCAGTTGCTTAAACGAAGTCAATCTTCTTTATACAGAAAGCTGGAAACCAAGATGACTCTATACTTAGTTTAATGAAAGAGCAGAAAAATAAGACCGATAAAAGTACAGTTAAAAGTAGCAATAAATCAACACATGATCTAGTTCGCGTAACTACCAGCCCAAAAGCAAAGAGAGTTAAACAGAAATTATTATCTTCAATTGTTGCACGAAAGTTGAAAGAAGCTAATTCATCTAGTCAACCTACCCTTGCAACAAAGAAAGTAAAATTTAAAACACAACTCATAGATACAGAACGTAAAACGTTTAAACAACAATTAGAGAAGGTACCCGTAAAGATAAATGAGAAAGCTATCGGAGCAGATAGGTCATTACCAGCCACAGGTATCGAAGCTTCTAGTGCTCCTGTTGTGTCATTTACTAAGGTTACCCGAGAAAACTTTGGCAAAACATTATTAGCAAAGAAAAGAAATGTCAAGGATGCAGACTCCAAAAAAACACTTTCAAATATATTTTCTAAACAAACAAAATCTGAAGATACTAAAATTAATACATTAAAGTCAGCTGAAGAAGCAGATGTAGATGAAGATGTTATGCCAATGATAAAATCTAAATTTAAGAAATCAAAGAAACTGTCATCTATATCAAATACAGATGTTAGCGGTAAAACAAATAAGAATTATGAAGACAAATCAACAAGTCAAAGTCATACGAATGTACAGAATGATAAAAGTACTCGTGCTCCCCTTAGGCCTGGCACAATGATATCTTCATTGTTTAGTCATAATCCTGAAATACCAAATATTGGTCAAAGATTTGTAAAACCGATAAGCGAACCAGTTTTTACAGGAACAACTTTTGTCGATCTTAATGTACATCCTTTCACTGTGAGTATTACTATCCTAATGACATCTTTGAACCGATAATGAAGTTGCTACAATTTCAAAAATTTTTACCAGATATCTAACTTGGAGCAGAACATGCAAATCACTAAAATGACAATAGTTCAGCAGAAAGCAATTCCTTGGATACTTTCAGGCAAAGATATTTTAATTAGGTCTCAAACTGGTTCCGGCAAGACACTAGCATATGCTTTACCAATCATTGAGTTTTTACACAAAATCAGACCAAAACTGAATAGAAATAGCGGATTGAAAGCTCTTGTAGTTGTACCAACTAGAGAACTAGCTCTACAAACCTACGAGTGTTTCTTAAAATTAATCAAAGTGAGCACTTTATAAGTAATACATGTTAGTAGATATTATCTAATTTAGTATATTATACACAAATTACTTTTTACACAATTTTAGCCATACACATGGATTGTGCCAGGGTATTTAGCAGGGGGTGAAAAGAGGAAAGCAGAGAAAGCTAGATTAAGAAAAGGTTGCAATATATTAGTTTGTACACCTGGTAGATTGTTGGATCACATACAACGAACGGAAGCTTTAAAACTTAATCACGTTAAATACTTTGTTTTGGATGAGGCTGATAGGATGCTTGAGATGGGATATGAAAAAGATATATCAAGGTACGTTTGATTAGAAAATTGGAAAATCACAAGTGCATCGCTCGTTTGATTAAGTTTTTTTTCTAAAACGCAATTTCAGTATAGTGAGTGCTTTAAAGGTGTCGACACCAAGCGAAAATTCAGGTTACGATGCGATGAAAATTCTTCGACAAAACGTGAAAAAAGTATTCACCGACGAGGATGTCGAGAATATAGAAGAAACTACTGGTTCAAAAAATGAGACAACGAAGGATGATCTGACGAATTTAAAACCCGAAGACGATACGAAAAAAGATGTCGTTAAACAAAGGCAAGCATACCACTCTAGTAGCGACGATGATTCGGAGGAAGACGAACCTTTCGTCAAATCGAAACAATTGAACAAACGGAAGGATGTCGCCAAGTCCACCGAAAAAAAAGTATCCGGTTCGCTAGAAAATGATGCGCGAAAAGATAAAAATAGCAATGAAAATGAATCCAGAAGACAAACGATCTTACTTTCCGCGACTTTGACGCAAGCCGTGGAAAAATTAGCGGGTCTCGCGATGGAGCATCCTATATTTCTGGACGCCGCGAAAGAAAATTTAGAAACAATTGGCGATAGTACGAGCGACGTAAACGAAGATTTAATAGTCCCCCAAAGTGTGATCCAGACCTACATCGTTACGCCGCCGAAATTGAGGATGGTGACCTTGAGTGCTTACATCGCGGGAAAGTGTCAGGTAGATTGATCGTTTCAAATATATTATTTATTATTATCTTTTGTTCGAAGCTTCGTAAATGTCATTTGTAATGCCAACAGAGCCATGGACAGAGCAAACTTTTAATATTCATGGCCACCCAGGACATGGTTGATTACCACACGGAAATACTGTCTACTGTGCTCACCAAACCGGTTGACGAAGACGACGAGGACTCCGATCCTCTGGTCGATATAGAGTTTTTCAAATTGCACGGGAACATGACTCAAAAGGAGCGAACGGAGGTTTTCAAAACGTTCAGGCTGGCGAAAACCGGGGTTCTACTCTGCACGGTAAGTTTTTACCTGCGAACACTTAAACCTGGGGGCTTCTCATTCGATACGGCGAAACAAAATTGCATAACATGGCACGTGAGCGATGACATTGCTCTATGAGAGCAAGAATTAGTATGAAGCGACGATAAAGGGAAGGGCGGTGAAATAGAAGGATAAGACAGAAGAAAAGCCGGGGATAGCCGACGGGCACTCCCTGAGCAGTAAATTACCCCGTGGCTTATTCTTTCAGGGCGGAATTTAATATCTCTGGACCCACGCTGTGTCCGGAGGTTAAAAATTATGTGCACACATGAGGCCTTCGTAACGAGTATAATTATGATTGTTTGTCCGTTATTCGCCGGTCCTTTCTTTAATTGCTTTATACTTTTGAAATTGCGATTGCTTAACAGTAATGATACCTCGCGTAACAGAGATTTCGTTGGAAAAAAATGCGTTGGTCCTGCAGCAACGTTCATGATAATTTTTAAATTTTGTGCGCAATACTATCGAAAGACAACTTCCTGCACGATGGTTCGCCGAAGAACGGCGCAGCGCCGCTTTCCGATCGATAGAACCACTTTCTTTCGTTTACTAATTACGTTCAAATTAATAGAACGGTAGATCAACTTTCAGATCTATCGTGACTTCGTAATAACTGCTTAACCATCGTAATTACCGGTGAAAGTAACCGTTCCCATTGCCAGATAAAAATCGACAAAGATTCAATAATAATAATTAAACTCGCACTTGTTAACTTTGTTTCTTGTCTTCCTCGTTAGTTAACGGGAGCTTACCACGCTATTTTCACGGGGCAGACAACAAAAAACTCGGTGTCCAAGTTAAATGCACGGATTCGAAAATTCATAATCCGCGGCACGCAACGAATGACAGCTCGCCCGCTGCAAGGATTAATTCGTTCTAATCAGGCGATTGCATCGTTGATTCGACATGTGTTTCACGGTGATTCGCCTCGTGTTCTGATTATTCATTGCTCGAATCCTGTGCAGACCGATTAATTGCAATCAGCTCCCTGAATGGATGGTTTGCGGACTGTGTACATAAATACTTTAAAGTCTAATCGTTCGTAGGGACCTGCATAGATCACCCGCGTTGTTGAACGTTAGGACTTTATAGTTCTTCGTCTTATAGTATCTCCATCATCTAGTCTCGATTGTAGGATTCGATGGTAGCTTCGAAGGGTATTCGTCGTTTCCGTTGTAATTTTTAACCGTTGATCCCAGAACGGTATCCCCTGCATGGGAATTATATGGCAGCGTTATTAATTTCCACGTTGAAAACTCTTGAGAGCCCCCGCGGACGGAATGTTACGCGGCCCTCTGCGGTGGTGAATCTGGATCCAAGGGGTGATCTACGGCTCGAGTGAGATGTTTTGAACGGACGATCCGTTCTCGATCCTCCAAGCCACGATAGCCGTCTCTCTTTCCTAAACGATCGTCTGTCTTAATCGCTGCCATCGATCGCTCCTCGTGCCCGTTTTTCGTTATACTATATCGTACTGGTGGCAACCGCGATGCTTGTTTCGTCCGAAGACACGTAGGCGTCCCGACTGGTTTCGCTTTATCGGAACATCTTTCGGTAAATCCTAATTTCCGCCAATCGATCACCAGGATTGTAACAATTTCTTCATGCAACAAACATCGGGCTATGTAATTATATCCATTTACAATGCATATCGCGTATTTACAGATGAGAATTCAAGGCACTAAAGTAATTAGAAGTCGTATGAGGGCCCAGAAACGTTGCTACCGAGTTGCATGCGCGTTTGCGTTGCATTCTCGCTTGCAAACAAGTTTAGGTAGTGTTCGGATCGCGGGATAGAAATTTATACATTGCTATTTCTAATATACACAGCCAGTCCCATAAGTATTCGTACCCTCTGTACTTATCGAAGAAATTTGTACATAAATAAACTTCCAACTTGTATATATTTACAATTACAAATTTATTTGGAAACATATAGCGTTCATTTAAATGAGACAAATTTCTTCAATAACTATAGAGGGTATGAATAACAGTGATTTCTAGGGAATCATAAATCGTCGTGCCCCATTTTTACGGGAACACCTTGTGTATTCCTGTAACGTTATCCGACAACAAGCATTAGAATAAAACTAAATCGCGACAACGAAACAACGTGATATTCGTCGATATTTATTTCGCTATGGTATCTATCTTGTATTTCCTCGCCCCGGTGCCTAGTCTGCCGGCGTCGATAGGCCGGCGTTGAATTAATTCGATAAAAGAACGTGAAAAAAAAAAGAAGGTGGACAGACGCATCCATATCGTGCCGCGAAAGAATTTTCGGGACCACGACGCCGCCCCCCTACTGGTGGTCCGGGATTAGTCCCAGGGCCGTCAAGCAGGGCCTCGACGCGCTCCGTTCGGTAAATCATTGGTTAACCGAACGCAAGGAAATCAGGGCCGTGCTCAAACGTTCGCCGTTGGGGTCCCACAGCGGGCGCTCGGTGCCAGCCGCGCGCATTCACCCTTCTACAAAACGAGAAATCGACGCGGTTTGTAAGACATTTGTACCAGCAGATCGCGCGGTGTAATGTGGCCTGCCGCTTTTCTAGCGGGGAATGAGTTGTTGGGCAATCGTGAACTAACGTTTCGACTTTGTTGGGTATTTCATATTGGAAACACTGAATAACTGGACAAGGAACAGTATCTGTTAATAATAGATAACAAAGCATTAGTTGCCCTAGTAAGAAGCCTATTGATAGGCTACCAGTTGGTACTTAGAAGCTTTTTAACTCCACCGTCTACATCTGGTAATCTCTTAATCATGTTGTCGGTTATCTACTTATACTGCTCAATATCTAGAAACACATGAAGCACTTGATATACCCAGTGACAGTATTCAGAAGCTAATGTCAGCCTAGATTAATATATTTTAACATAGTGTTGAGCTTTAAGTTTTTGGCCCTTTTAATTTCTACATCCAACGACGTTCGTCATCTTTGTGTCGCCAGGATGTCGCGGCTCGTGGATTGGACATGCCAAAGGTGGACTGCGTGGTTCAATACACCGGGCCGATCTCAGCCAGGGATTACGTGCATCGAATCGGCAGAACGGCGCGTGCAGGATCCTCTGGAACGGCGACCATCTTTCTGACGCCGCCTGAAGTCGAGTTTGTCCGAATGCTCGAGTCCAGGCGCATCAGGATCAAGCAGGAAAGTATGGAAGACGTTTTGGATAAATTGCTGACCCCTCTGTGCAAGCACTCTTCCGCTCATAACGCCGCGATCGCGCTGCAAAACGAGTTCGAGAATTTGGTGCTCGAGGATCCGAAGCTTCGGGCGATGGCGTGCAGAGGTGAGTCGAATTTCTAAACGAATTGGTATTGTGCTGTGGTTGCGCATACCCAAACTTGCAAACGAGTACCTTTGGACGCGCGGGACCGAGGCACTTTAAACAGAACGTTGAATCGATTTTACGGTTTCTCGCTTAACGCGTTTCCGTCCTCTACCACTCGGTGAAACACAAAGTACTCGTGATGAGGGAGCACCCATTTCGATTCAGTTGGATCGGAACGCAAGCGAGCTGACTTCAGGGTAGACTAAGCCAATTCCGACGGGCACCCTACTCGCATATAAAGTAACCCCATACGGTCGTGTTAGAGAGCCTTCACTCTGTCTCGGTTTTCGTTCGCCACTCGGCTATTTACATACTCTCTGGACGAGGAGGATGATCTTGTTTGCCATGCCACGGTCGCTCTATTACGGCTGTTAGGGCGGGGAATTTATTTGCTGCAATAATAAATCCATTAGGATGCGATGATTCGAGTTTCGTTCGAGGGGAGTGTAATATTCACCCTTACGCTCGCGGATCGTAGTGCGTCTCCTCTCCCGCGTGCTATGTATTTTTCAAAGCGTTTCGAAGCAGAGAAAGAAACGGGAACGACGGACACCCACGGTCCGACGGCGTTCGATGGTCGCGGGTGATCGATTTTCAAAACGTAAAATAAAGACCATAAATCTCTCTAAGAGGTTTTTGAGTTTCGCAGTTGTCTCGCGTCAAGCGTGGCTTTACGCGAAGGTTAGCTACGGTTTTTGAGCGCTTAGCCGCTTCAGATTTGAGTGACGGTACACAGTTAACCACTTGACCGTTCCTCTACGTGCTCCGAGTGATTGATAGATTAATTGTCGTCGACGATTCGACGCTACACTTTCCAACGGGGAGAGGGTGGGATAGAAAGGCGGAGTAATATTATAGGCGAGTGGGAGAAGCCCCTGGGAGAGACAAAATGATCGGAACTGTTAGGCTAGATTTGTTTGCCAAACAAGGTAAAAGTAGGCGAAAAAGCAAAGTCGGGACATTGAAGTCATACGATCGAAAGAATAAGATATACTGTTGAGCATCACGTGACCACATCCTGCGTCTTTCACTGCCACCGACGATATATTTCATTCCCGACCGATCTAAGTGCTGGGCAGTGTGCGTAGAAGTGGAAATCTCGCTAATTCGTAACATTATCACCCCAATAGAGCCGAACAGCCCTCAATAGCGAATACAACTCTATGGAATAACCCCCTAGTCTCCGACCCCTACCCTTAACCTACCTATCTACTGTGCTCCATACACACATATATACATAGTCCTTTATTCCAGCCCTTAGCTACACCCTTTTCGGCGTAACTTCTTGTCGTCGTTAACAAGTAACATAAATATTTACAATCGTATTCAAATGCTTATATTTTTGTACGTTTACGTATATGAACGTTAAATCGGTTCCAATGCATCTCGAGCGTAAACGATAATCGAGCAGAGTGGGTTTTTGGTTTTCAAAAACGAATTGTAAAATTCACTTTTTGGTTGGTTTTTCTTTCTTTTCTTTCTTTCTTTTTTTTTTTTTATTTACTTTTCGTGGCGAAAACGAGCGGTTGAAACGCATGCAGCAAGTTAGATCGAATCTAGTATATACAGGCTCGTACGCCTTTCGCAGGGGGTGGCCGACACAATCCAACCACTGAATGTGGCTTCCGCCAAAACCACTTACGCTTTGTGGCGAGAGACTCTTAACAATGCGATACAGGATACAAATACAATAAGACGCAGTTACATCACTTAGGAACAATGCCGCCCCCCACGCGGCCCACTCTCTTCAATCCCCTACCATCGTTCGTTTCTCTGCCTTCTCAGCTAGATAGCAACCCCGCGGGTGATTTATGTGCTAAATGGAGAAAAACATTTTTCTCCCTTTTCAACGCGCCGACACCGGTCCACGGCAGAAAGATCTTCTCAAGTTTCTTATGTGCGGAAGAGACGGATCTTGCTATAGAAGGCAGACGGAAATCAAGCCGGAAAATATCGGAGCATAAGGTCCGCCACGTGAATGATCAAAATTGAGGACATTTAGTTTTCCCAGCGGGAAAGTCCCGTTACAATATACCTCCATTTTCGTTTCGTAACGGTCAGATTTTCTTCGATCGAACGAAATTTCAAAACAAACATTTATCACGTTACTTTATCGATAATCAGTTATTTCCAGTTGAATACGTATAATTCGTGTATCGTGTATTTTATTTAAGTGACAAACTATTTTGGCGTAGTTATTGCGCCGAAAAATACTTCTTACGGTATTTCACGAGTTCCTCGATTCTATTCTTCTTATCTAAATACAGAAATACTAAAATCCAACATATAATTCGGACGAATCGATACATTCGAGTATCTCAGGAGATGCACTTCGCTGTAATTTTTCGCACGGAGCGACAATAGTACGCGGGCATATGTCAATTTCTCCCAGGATCGGTGAACCCCGAGTTTCTCAGCAGCACGCGGAAGCTAGAGAAGTTAAGAGGGGATAACGGGTCGACTATTAGCCACAGCACTTGACTCGGCCCCCGTTAATGCCTCTTAATAGCTCACAGCGGGGCACACACCCCATAGAATCGCGGTACGCGAACCCCCGTAGAACTTAATGGAACCTCGATTAATAAGGGCGCGCTAGACACGCAACCAATAATCACATCCGAGTTACGATGCACGTGGCCTCGTTTACACGTGGGCGGGACGCATGTATTTTCCTAACGTACGATCGTCCTTATGATTCGATTCGTGTCGTTCGTTGAATTTATGGATTTTCAAATAACTCGCGTCTTTTATATAAATCGAAGCGAAGAAAAAGTTTAACGTTCAAAAATTAAGTGGATGTGATTTCAATAATTGTAGAGTGTAAGTATAATATTGCGGATGAAGACTTTGAGCGATTTTACATAATACAATGCCATGAATATCGGGTTATCTCGAACGGCGAAACAATGTGAATCGGTTAGGTGGTGACCTTAAATAATCCGAATGGTTTTCAGCGTATACTTCTTGGGTACGTTCCTACGCCCGCTATCCGCGCGACATGCGTGAGATTTTCAACCGGAGGAACCTTCACCTAGGCCACTTCGCCAAGAGTTTCGCGTTGAGAGAAACTCCGAAACGAATCGGTGGAATAGGGAAAAAAATACACGAGAAGGATACCACGAAGCAACAGCACAACAATAGGCTTACGAATGAACGGTAAGCATACAACGCTTCGCGTTAAGGTATCGAATGGCGAATGAATGGTTGGTTGAATCACGCGATCTTATCGAGGAGTATGTGAGAAAGTGGTACGATAGCTCGACTACGGAGCGAAGGAACGAGACCTCGACGAAAATTGTCGATCAGACCGTCGCCGGACCACTTGGTTGACTCGGTCAAGGTAGATAATCGCGAAGACGAGCGAACTCGCAGTATTAATGACGGATTCACGCGTGGCTTAGCTTGTTAACCGCGATGCTCTCCGTAATTTCTCCCTCTCCGTGTCTCTCTGTGCACGGTTCGTAACAAACGCAACCACGTGTATTAACAGATAGTACGCGCACACGTAACGAGAGGACAGCTCGTGGCTCCTAGAGAGGTTAGATACGTCAAAACTGTCGCTTTGTGTCATTCGTCATGTACGACGAACGAGCGGACGTGGTGTACGGTGGCTGGCAGCCATAAGCCATAAGCCATACGGCTCTCGTCGTGCTCATCCTCGTTTATTTCCCGTCTCCCTCGGTTTCCCTTCGTATCTCCGTCTATCTGACGTCAACGGTCTCGTTCTCTCCTAACGCGTCTCCGTCCATCTCGTCGGGTATGCATTTCACATAGCATTCGGCTGGCTTCTACCCTTCTCCAAGCTCCAAGCTTTCACCGTTCTCTCTCCGACACTCGGTTCTCCGTCTCTCGTCCTATCTCTCCATTGTTCATAATTATACAATACGGCTATTAAACAGACTGATGCGACCGCTACTTCCGGCCGTGGCTGCGCCATTTACGGAAACCACAGGACGAGCACGAGCCTCCCTTCGCTCTCTACCTGTCTCTTATCCTCTTCCTCTTTGTAGAAATCTCTCTCGTACCGCTGCTCTGATTTTCTGTCCATCGCTCGCTATCGTTCGGTGGTTGCGTATTCACATGTTCCCCTTCCGTCAGATCTTAATTCTTTTCGTCATGCAACGCGTTCGCTCGATCGCTTGTAAATGCGCTACTCTGTTTCGTACGGACCAAATACGCATCCTTTTACCTCGAAAAAATTCCACGCTACTCCAGCACGCGTAAAAACGGATCAGCGCATCGTCGCGGTCGTCTTTCGAAACTTACTATCGCGAGAAACCATTTCCCTCCATTTCTGTGCCGCTCCTCGATCGGCGTCGCCATTTCGGTCACGCATTCGACACGCATCGATCGCTTTTCCTCGAGGCAGTAATTAAACATTAACTTGTTCGATGCGATTCGAATGGGCGTGCTTTCGATACACGGAACGGGTAACCGACGGGTTTACCCTCCATCCGGAGAGAGAGAACAAGTTCGTTTTAATGGGTGAAAGGCGGGCACCGCGCTGACGATCCAATGGATCGAGAGACCCACAGTTTACGCCTTTGTGGGTCCGATTACGCCTGCACTGTGCGGGAACGCGTACGATCTCGTGTGGGTGTATGTGTACGTGTGCGTGTCATCGTTGCCGCCCTTGAACACGTTCAAGCACCAACTTTCCCGCGAAGGACGCAAGGTACGGAGGGTTCGTTGCTGCGTGCGAGATCTTTCACGATCTATCGATATATACATCGTGTTTCGCGAAAGCTGTCGACTCAAATCTTTCCTTTGGAGAACATTAACCCTCGGAAGAATTTGGACGCCATAGCTCGTGTTAGGCAAGTTTCAAGAAGAGATTGTACGTGAACGCGAATTTTAAACCGATAACGAGCGCCTTTCGAATGCTGCTACCTCCATACCTGCCAGGTACGACGTGAAAACTACCCTGGATTCGAGGACTGAGCGCGCGATAAATATAGTTTAGGAAATACGATGTAAAGACGAAATTCGCCACGGCGACGCAACGGTTGTCCGAATTCTCCACAGCGCGACCAACCGAGTCCGGGAGGGTGTGTCGCTGGTTTCCGAAGCGAGACTACTTTTTTGTCGATTTTCGATTACCGCGCTCTGTCCTCGCCACATGTCGTTTACGTCGAATTACCGAAAATTGCGGGTTAGCCCTAATGCGACGATTAAGGCCCGGTCTCGGGTTTTCAGACCCGACGGGGTGCCGGCAAAGAAACGGAAGCATCCGGATGACAAGCCGAGGACGGGGTTACTGAAGAAAGTCAGGATGCTCAACACCTCCGAGTACGACAGCGGCCTCGAGCCACCGAGGAAGCCAAAGAAATCCTGAGCGTCGCATTAACACCTCGACTACCTAGTAAACAGAATGCGATTTCGTTACCGTGATTCCCACCTCTCGTGTAAATACACACACCCTCCTTTTAACCGTACGGTTAACCGGAGAATCAGGTTAGCCGTTCCTCCCATGGATTCAATACCGCTTGTCGCGTTCTCGAGCACGCGGTGTATCACCCCACAGGTGAGAATGTTCTGTACATAATTTCGCAAGATGGTCGCACGATCCAACGAGCTAATTCCTTGGATGTTCGTCGAGAAATAAATTTGTAACGTAAGGTGTCGTTACTTCGATCGAAATAACTGCTATCGAATTAAAGTTATTGCAACGTGTCACCTTTGATACTTCCAGCAAGTATAGTGTCACGGAACAACGCCACAGCGAATCGTGTTACACCGACCACGCCTGTACTTTTTTGATCGTAAATAGCGAGGACGAAGTGTAAGTATTCATGTCGGTGCGCGGACGAGCACTGACGGATGAAGTGGGTGGGGGGCAAAGGAGAAGGAGGCAGAGGAATAAGGGCGGAAGGATATGATTAATACGGCAGCATTATTTTCAGATTTTTTGCACCACGATCCGCGAGCGCAAATTGCTTGCAAATAAAGGCGGCGTCGACTGCTGTCGCCGCTGGTACGACAGCAAAGGAACGGGGCGAGGAGGTGAATAAGGGAAGGAGGGAAGAGTGGAGGCCAAGAGCTCAGCCGGGCTTAATTTAATTTAATTATGCCTTCTTTCTTCGCTACCAACGCGCGCGAAGATAGATGGCGAGCTCGGAATCGCCTGAATCGCTTCTCTCGCCGCCATCAGCCGGTGTTACGGATTTGCGTGATAGATTTCGAATTTCCATTAATCGGTCAACGTACTCGATCGATCGTTTAACGGTGACGACCTCGGGTTTTTCACACGCCACGTAACGTTCCGGATTTCTATCTAACAATCGATTTACATTTCACTTAACCTCGACATATCAACTATTTGAATTCTATCGCTATCGGTTGCTAATTTAGCTGGCTATTACTTGCTGACTTTGAATCGGAATTCATCAAAATCTGTTTTTTATTTTTTTAGGTATTGTATAATATCCTAATTTATTTCAGTGATTTGATAACGACCCCTCCCCCCAAATGAAGGGTTGTTACGCTCATAGTTCGTTTTAGAATTGAGTCGTTCAGTGGCGATCAACGATGAGGGCAACTTGATTCAACTATCAATTGGTTACCCTTATTTTAAATTCGAGGCTTCTTTCGTGCCAACCAAAAGTATTCGACTCCTACGGTAATCAACAAGCATCGCGAAACGTATTTGTTTAAACGCGATATCACTCCGTTTATGACCGATGCATTTTCGATTCTCCATCTCGACGGCAATCTGCGAGAGGGCACATTAGACGGAACGGAGCAAAGAGTGCGATATTTAGTCGTAATGTGCATCGCGATTCGTCGTGGTTTAGCATCAGTCATAGTCATCGCGAGCGTGCGCATACTCATAATGAACTGAACGATTAGGGTATATCCCGTTCGTTTGTTCGATCGTTCGTGGAGCGGGCTCCGCGCACGAAGAAATAATCATAGATTGCTTCGAACGAATCGAAATGAAAATGGAAGCCGAAGAAAGGGCGCGATTCACGGTACCGGGGGATATGCGCAGCTTGAGTCCGATTAACGCGACAGAAACGGACGAGAAAAGAAGCGCGGGAACAGAAAAAGTTCCGACTGCGCGAGGATTGACCGTGCATCCTCCGTGGTGTTTCGCTTTTACGTAGAAAAATGCGAATCCGAGACTAACGCGTCGAAAAGAACGTAAGCAGATATAAAAGGAACTGATTATTCCGGCCGATTACCGATTTCCGGTCGGTTAACGATCTTTTCGAACCGATTACACCGCGACTCTCGTTCCAGCGACGTATTACCGATCTTCGTTGAATATATCGACGCTAGTTACCTCGGAATCGAACCGCCATTGATCGAAAATCAAAGTCGAAACGTGCCGCGGTGCTCGACAAATTGCCTTTCACGAGATAAAGTTTATTTCGAAACATCGTTCGACTTTTACTCCGCCGATTGCAATTTCACTCGGTAGTTGGAGGATTATCCGACACGCGTGACACAATTGCCACTCGATTTATGCTACTTTTGAAATGTTGCAGGTGTTTCACCACAGGTAAACCATATGTCTCGTCCCGAGCGTATCGAACACACTCAAAAGCTCGAGTATATTTCCCGATGAATCGTCCGTCTCGCGATTTCTCGCTCGGAATCAAGGATAAATTATCACGGAAATTATCGTCGATATTCGATTACCGCGTACCACTTCTCCGAGCAATAAGTACTTATTTTCTTATCGAAATGATCAAGAAGTACCATAACTCTCGATCGACCTAGCAAAAATGGCTGCCTCCACCGACTTGAACTGGGCGAATTTTATTCGAAATTAACCGACAATGAAATTCCGATTCTTTATTTAACGCAACGTTATCTAAGAGTAGCATCGCTCTGCAATTATAGATTATTTCATTGCTTATCGCAAGCCCACGATAATTATTTTGAAAATTATTCCTCGGTAACGATTGCGCATCAAAACCAAAATAACTGAAACAAAGTAAAACTCAATTATTACTCTAATTACACCGATAACGGTGTAATTAATTCCTCTCTCGTCTGCTCGTTGCGATTTATGCCAACGATAATTCTGCGTTCCCTCTCTTCGTCGTCACGACGTGAATCCTTTCGTCGCAGAAGTGACCCTGTTTTTCCCCATTTTCTGTTCATCACTAGTTTAAACGCTAGTTTAAACAAATCAAAAATACACATGAGTGCTTTCATCGTCAGAGAGCATTGCTATTATCCTCTTTATACATTGGACGTGCATTTTATATTAGGACAACCGACGTTATCTTTTAATGGCATCTGTACAAATCGGAAATCCGTTCGAAAATGCGTGAGAATCGAGGCGATTAGCATTTTAGTGTTCACGTATCCCACGGAAATGTTTGATTAGACTGTCGTGGAGCGGAGCCATTGCCTCGATGAGAGGCGATGGTTGCGCGCTTGGAATGCAATCGCCACTCTTCGCTCATTATTTTCTCATCTATAGGATATGGATATTGCACCGTGTTCTCGAATTCCCCGTGTTTAACCGATCCACGTTACCCAATCGCTTCTACGTGCTCTCCGTCTCTCCGTATTCGGTAATTTAAACTGCGTAAACGGCAACTGTTAGTCGAACAAATTCTTCAATTCAAATTAGTCGAATCGCAGTTTCGTGTTCCGCGACGGGAACTCGTAGAAACTGGTCCGTTGTTCGCGAATAGCTGGCTAATAAAAAGGAAAAGGGGCGCGTAAAAGCGGAAAAAATCGTGTAAGCGAAAAATTGCGAAAAATGCATCAAGACGCGGCGGTTGTACCGTTTCGAACATCGTTATGTTCAATTCATGGTAGATTTGCCGGTCGATAGGATTTCTCGTGCATTACCGCATTAGTGCGTTCCATCGCGATAAGTAACAAGCTGTAAACTGCTTTCCCTGATGCGATGCGGGACTGGGCGATTTTGTTGCTCGGTACAAACGATAATAGCGGCCGTATAGCGGCAGTTACTTAACGTTCATTATAATTAACACGCTCGATGCCTTAACTTTCCCAGGAGGAAAGCGAGAATAATGTGCGTTTGTAATCGCCAACGCGTACGCGTTTAATTTTATCATTTCCTCGAGCCGCTAATGACGAAGGAATTCATAAAACATAGCGTTCCTTTCCGAGCAATTTTGATCGATCCATACGCCTTTAACCCCCTGTCACGAATCAGCGCGGATTCCGTTAGCTTTTAATTAAGATGATTACACGCAGGGCCGACCCTAGGCATTCTTGACGCTCCCGGGAACAATAGAGTACAACACACGTCGCCCACTCACTTTACGCTAGAAACATGTATTTATTATTTTACGTGCAACAAAATTTCATTGTAGACGTGTACTATTAAAATATTCCATTGCAATTTAGTCTGGAGCGGCCGTATTGTATATAATTTGACTTATATGGGAATTGAATAGTTCTTGCAACTTTACATATTAAAGTAGAACTTTATTTATTCTGCAGATATGCATATTTATATGTATACAACTAGCTGCACCCTGCGGTTTCATCCATGTGGACCATACTATTTATTTTAAAACGTTCGCGTTCAAATGACTGTCTTTTCTTTTTACGTAACTCGGATGTTTCGATTGATATTTCTGATTGTGTGACTAGGAGCCCGTGTAATTTTCAGATCACACGCTAATGTGTCGATATTTCGTCAAATAATTTTAATGTTTTCATAAGATGACATATACATACGTCTTAATTATATAACGTGTCCGATAACTGATAACAATATTGATGGCTATTGGCATCAATCTTCAAATGATATGCCTTGCAAATTGTCTACAGAAACAATAATTCGGCCCATAGAGGGTTAACTAAACCCACTTGCTTATCTTCCTGCTCCTAAGGGCGCCCGGGCGCGCATTAATCACGGTCGGTAGGAACGAATTGTAAAGTTAAGAGGAACATCGATGCGCTCGAGAAAAAGAAAAATTACGCGCTGGCTTGATAAACCCAGCGGTAAGCCAATTAAGTCCCAGGAGTGTCGTTAAACTACTACTCGTTAGCGCTAAAATGTCGCTCCGGCGAATAGGTAGGACGGTTCAAAACGAGGAAACGGACGTGAAAAACGACAATTAGTGGGCGTTGCGGCTTTATCGCAGCCGTCAGGAAACTACCACGCGAGTTGCGCACCGACGAAATTGTTACATAAAATTTCGCAAAGCGTATGCTTGCAACACCGAGTTTCTAGCCGCGAAATCCGTTGATGCGAGAGCGAGGTAAACGGTCTAAATAAAAAAAAAAAAATAAGTACTTTAAACAACATTGTCGTTGACGAAACACAACGAGCGCGCTAGACTTTGTTACGAAGCGTATCATAGCACCCTGGCTCCCGTAACTAGAGAATAATTTAAAACGAGGAATCGAACCGTGGAAAACGATAGTTTTAGTCGTAAAGTAAATTATTGAAATAATTGAATGGTTACATAAAATCCCTGAAACTCCCAAGCGATTTCTTCCCCGTAGTTCATCCCTGGTTGTTATCTTGATCATCCAACGTTTGTGCTCGCTTCGCAAATGGTTGATTTTCTTCTTCTTAATTGACCCGTATAATTACCGATTACTATCTTCTATAAAGGGATTCGGAAGAGAAAATCGAGCGAGATGAATAAATATGATCGCAGCGCGCACCTAAAGGTGAATAATGCGCGCACGCACAC